TTTACAGAGGAACGAAAAGAAAAGAGAAGAAGGAGAAGAGGGAGAACTATACAACACTGCAGGGAGGATGGCTGGACGGGGGAACGGTTGCCGGACCTCGGCCTGTACAAAAACTTCAAACTTTACAGGGAGAATAACATGCTTGTTCCAAACAAAGACACTTGGTGGGATTTCGGGAATGGCGGAACCGGCGTTTTTTGCACACGCAGAAAGGGGCGATTGGGAATGGAAGGAGCCCCGGAGGCCTCAAGAATGGAACGGGAAAACGAATCGGACTTTGGTTGGGAGTTGGACGAGGAGGCCTTGGGTCCACCTGAATGCGGAAGGGGATGCCCTTGATCCAGAGGGGAGAGGCAGTCCCTTCCGCGCCTAATAGCACACAAAAGCAAAGGGAAACCAACAAACTCCCCTCCAAAACGTGATGAGCCTCTTTTTGGCAACCACCCCAACCACCTCGAGGGAAACCAAACAGAGCGGCTGCAAGAGGAAATATTCCCCCTCCCCTGTTTGGGTATCAGCCAGCACGTCAATGACTTAAATCAAGAAATAGTTTTTTCAGATCTACAGAGACACTTGCTGGAACACCTCAGCAAGCGAGAGTCCAAAAGTGGCAGGCTCAGACCCAGAACCTCAACCAATGGCTGATACCCTCACTGCGGGAGAAGATGCAGGTCAAGAATAGTCACCTACGGACCCATCACCGGTACACTGATCTTGGAAGACTATCCTACTCGGACAATGAGTAAGTAAGTAAGTAAGTGGATTGGAGTGCTGGTGTCCTGGCAACCTCTCTCTGAGAAACCAGTCTAATGTTACGCAATGCTGTTCCCATGTTTGGCTCCAGTGCTACGACCTCATGGCAAGAAATGCTCTGGGATGAGAGTTCTCCAAGCGTGAGAGAATATAGGGTTAGGCAAGAGAAGGGGGCAAGAATGAACTCTCCTCTTGGTTATCTCATACACGTGGGAGATGATTCCAGAGGAAGGGGGTGCAGAAGGATATTTCCACTGTCGTGGGATCGGGATTTCCCCTCCGGGGTGCCCCCTGCCCCACAACAACATGGCTGTCTGGCAAGAATACTGCAGCGGAGAGCGATAACGTGTCCCCACCGGGCAATGGTTGCAGGGCCTGTGCTATTGGTGATCTATAGAAATAAAAATGTCATGTCCGTTTGTGGGATTAACAGAACTCACAAACCACTGGGAGAATTGACACCAAATTTGGACACTATACCCCTAACAGACCAACGAGTGACCATAACTCATAAAACCCCCCAAAACAGCTAAAAGGACTTAAAAATCCCCAAAAGCTAAATGACGGAAAGCTAAAGGATAATACAGAAGGGGAGAAAGAAAGAAAGAAAGAAAGAAAGAAAGAAAGAAAGAAAGAAAGAAAGAAAGAAGGAAAGAGGTAGAGAAGGAAGAAAGGAGAAAAAGGGGATGGAAAAGAAAAAAGGGGGAAGGAAGGAAAGAGGTAGAAAAGGAAGGAAGAAAAGAAGGAAAGAAAAAAGGGAAGGAAGGAAAGAAGGATGGAGCGAAGGAAGGAGGCAAAGGAGGAGAGAAAGAAGGATGGAAGCAAAAAATGAAAAAAGGAACGAAGGAGGGAAAGAGGTAGGGAAGGAAGAAATGAGAGAAAGAAAAAGATAAAGAAAAGGGGGAAGGAAGGAAAGGTAGAGAAGGAAGGAAGGAGAGAAGGAAAGAAAAAAGGGAAGGAAGGAGGGAGCGAAGGAAGGAGGCAAAGAAGGAGAGAAAGAGGGAGGGAAGGAAAGAGAGAAGGAAAGATGGAAGCAAAAAACGAAGGAAGGAAGGAAGGAAGGAAAGAGGGAAAGAGGTAGGGAAGGAAGAAATGAGAGAAAGAAGAAAATAAAGAAAAGGGGGAAGGAAGGAAAGGTAGAGAAGGAAGGAAGGAGAGAAGGAAAGAAAAAAGGGAAGGGAGGAGTGAAGGAAGGAGGCAAAGAAAGAGAGAAAAGAGAGGGAAGGAAAGAGAGAAGAAAGGATGGAAGCAAAAAGCAAAGGAGGGAAGGAAGTAGAGAAGGAAGAAATGAGAGAAAAAAGAGATAAAGAAAAAGGGGGAAGGAAGGGAAGGTAGAGAAGGAAGGAAGGAGAGAAGGAAAGAAAAAAAGGGAAGGAAGGAAAGGGAGTGAAGGTAGGAGGCAAAGAAGGAGAGAAAGAGGGAGGGAAGGGAAGATAGAAGGAAGGATGGAAGCAAAAAAGGAAGGAAGGAAGGAAGGAAGGAAGAAGGAAGGAAGGAAGGAGGGAAATAGGTAGGGAAGGAAGAAATGAGAGAAAGAAGAAGATAAAGTAAAGGGGGAAAGGAAAGAAAGGTAAAGAAGAAAGGGGAGAAGGAAAGAAAAAAGGGAACGAAGGAAGGAAAGAGGGAGCAAAGGAAGGAGGGAAAGAAGGAGAGAAAAGAGAGGGAAGGAAAGTGAGAAGAAAGAATGGAAGCAAAAAGCGAAGGAAGGAAGTAGAGGAAGAAATGAGAGAAAAAAGAGATAAAGAAAAAGGGGGAAAGGAAGGAAAGGTAGAGAAGGAAGGAAGGAGAGAAGGAAAGAAAAAAAGGGAAGGAAGGAAAGATGGAGCAAAGGAAGGAGGGAAAGAAGGAAAGAAAGAGGGAGGAACGGTTGGTCACAGTAACCTGTGGTGGGTACAGATAGTCTATATAAATAAAAATGTCATGTTCGTTTGTGGGATTAACAGAACTCAAAAACCACTGGATGTATTGACATGAATTTTGGACACAAGACACCTAACAACCCAATGTATGTCCTTCACTCCAAAAAAAATGGTTTTGTCATTTGGGAGTTGTAGTTGCTGGGATTCATAGTTCACCTACAATCAAAGAGCATTCTGAACCCCACCAGCGATGGAATTGAACCAAACTTGGCACACAGTTCTCCCATGACCAACAGAAAATACTGGAAGGGTTTGGTGGGCAGTGTCCTTTGGTTTTGGAGTTGTAGTTCACCTACATCCAGAGATCACTGTGGACTCAAACAATGATGGATCTGGACCAAACTCTACGCGAATACTCAATATGCCCAAATGTGAACACTGGTGGAGTTTGGGGAAAATAGAATCTTGACATTTGGGAGTTGTAGTTGCTGGGATGTATAGTTCACCTACAATCACAGAGCATTCTGAACCCCACCAACGATGGAATTGAACCAAACCTCTCACACAGAACCCCCATGTGGGCCACAGCAACGTGTGGCAGGGGACGGCTAGTAAATAAATAAATATGGACCTGTGTGGACGGAGAGACCCAAGGCGAAGAAGGTGCAGATGTTGCTGCTTGTGCTGGACATGGGTGGAAGGGTTTGGCCACTTTTGGCATTTTCAAGCTCATTTAAAATACTATTCATAATATTAGTAATAGTCAAGTACATACAAAAGAATCTATTTAAAAGCAATGGGTTGGGGAAAAAAGTATCAACGGTTGCCTTTTAGAAAAACAACCTTCCAAGCTCCAGAATTGCCTCTGAACCGCTGGCAGGGATTTCCACCTTGGGCGCCTTCTCACAACCCGATCAAACTCCACATGTTCTGCTTTGATCTGGGATATAGGGCAGTGTGGACTGAGACAACCCAGTTCAAAGCAGATCTTGAGAGGTTTTCTGGGTTCTGTGGCTGTGTGGAAGGGCCTTAAAGGTGGTGTTGGTTTCCTACAGCATTCCTTCATGAGATTCTGAACATGGCAGCTTCTCAGACACGACGTATTATCAAACCAGGAAAGGCTTCAAGGGACAACAATGGATCTCAAGAGCTGAGGAGGTTCAAATAGGAATGGGTAGGCTGTTTACCGGAAGCATCCCATCGGAAGATGAATTACGGAGAGACAGTTTGGACAATGCAGACACAATCCCCGTGGGCCGGCACAGTAGCCTTGTAGACCAGCATGGAAGCCAAGCATTGATGGACTTGGGCCATCTTTGCCAAAGCCCACCTATGAGAGCACCAATGACCTCTTCATCACAGCTTCCCGGAAGCACCATCAACATATGTGCTCATGTTGATCTTTGACGTTTATCTAGACGGGTGGAAAGTTGGTTAGGAATGCTCCACACCTTGACTATGGAAGACCTAGACCTTCTTCATCTCCTGGATTCATGGCATCTGGAAGAACGTTAAAGGACTGTCGGATGGAGAGATCATAGAATCCATCCATGGACAGCCAACTGAGCTGATTAAAAGGAAGTCACAACCTCTGAAGATGCTTGCCATAGAGCAGTGGTTCCCAACCTGGGGTCCCCAGATGTTTTTGGCCTACAACTCCCAGAAATCCCAGCCACTTGCCATAGAGCAGTGGTTCTCAACCTGGGGTCCCCAGATGTTTTTGGCCTACAACTCCCAAAAATCCCAGCCACTTGCCATAGACCAGTGGTTCTCAACCTGGGGTCCCCAGATGTTCTTGGCCTACAACTCCCAGAAATCCTAACAGCTGGTAAACTGGCTGGGATTTCTGGGAGTTGAAGGCCAAAAACATCTAGGGACCCCAGGTTGAGAACCACTGTCATAGATGCAGGCGAAACGTCAGGAGAGAATGCTTCTAGAACAGGGGTCTTCAAACTTTTTAAACAGGGGGCCAGGTCACAGTCCCTCAAACTGTTGGAGGGCCAGATTATAATTTGAAAAAAATCATATGCACACTGCACATATCTTATTTGTAGTGCAAAAACACTTAAAATACAATAATTAAAATGAAGAACAATTTTAACAAATATAAACTTATTAGTATTGCAATGGGAAGCATGGGCCTGCTTTTGGCTGATGAGATAGCGTTGTTGTTGTTGTTGTGTGCTTTCGAGTCATTTCAGACTTATGTTGACCCTGAGCGAGGGCCGGGTAAATGACCTTGGAGGGCCGTATTCGGCCCGCGGGCCATAGTTTGAGGACCCCTGTTCTAGAACATGGCCATATAGCCCGAAAAACCTACAACAACCCAGTTGGAATTGGCTTTGGAATGGCATTGTGCTGTTGTGTTAATCATTGATATTCACAAAAATGCAAAACCTCATTCACTGTTGTTGTTGTGTGCTTTCGAGTCATTTCAGACTTAGGTTGACCCTGAGCGAGGGCCGGGTAAATGACCTTGGACGGCCGTATTCGGCCCGCGGGCCATAGTTTGAGGACCCCTGTTCTAGAACATGGCCATGTAACCCGAAAAACCTACAACAACGCAGTTGGAATTGGCTTTGGAATGGCATTGAGCTGTTGTGTTGATCATTGATATTCACAAAAATGCAGAAATGCAAAACCTCATTCAACAAAAATCTCTGAAAGCCTTTGGTGGCCTTATGCTCTTGGGGAGGGGACACCACTGTGTGTGGGGATGCCTACAACAACACAAGCTGCTTGATGCTTCGGTCTGCAAAGAGACCACCTTGATGGGATCTTAGCCTGTCATGGAACCCAGGCTAAGACGGGAACGGCGTGATTTGTACGGAGAGGGCAGTTTGGAGTTGAATGGGTTGATCTGCTGGGTATTCGTTCCCAGTGCAAGGGGGGGGGGGGCTTCCAAGGTGCCCTCAGAGATTTAAGACGTTCTCCCAATCACCTCTATCTTCATCAAAGTGCAATGGCGCAGGGAAGCGACTGTTCCATAAAGCATGACATGGAAGGCAAGAGTGGCAGGATCCAGGAGACACAAGGCAAAGAAGTGAATCCAAACTGATTCGGCGGCACCGACACATACTCTGCTCCGGTGCCATCTTTCCCAATGACGGCGAGTTCCATTTTTAAGAGATAGACTATGTCTTGTTGGAAAGGGGGAAGCGGAAGGCAATAAAATAACCCTAGGAATACAGTTCCAGAAAAGGGTGGCATCCCATCACGGGTCACCTGTGCGCAGGGAACAGGGCGTCGTCGTGATGGACACGGAAGCAGTCACTACAACAAATGCGCTTCAAGGCGAAGCCAGTGGAGTCCTTGCCGAACGTAACGGACCAGGTTGGTCATAGTGCTGTGTTGCGTCAATGGACCCATCACTAAGTCCAGGTCTAGGAAGAAGTCTGTAAAAAGTAAGAAAGAAGGGTCAGCCTCTGCCTTTCCAAGGTGGCCTGTGCACAAAGGCTGCAAGGACTCTATTCGCTCGCTCGCTCACTCGCTCTATTTATTTATGACATTTCTATGCTGCCCTTCTCACACTGAAGGGGACTCAGAGCAGCTTACAAGATATATATACATACAACATATTATATTATCAGCATAGTACATTGGCTACAACTTTCTAAACATAATTGATGCTATTTATAAAGAACAAAAAGCAACTTTATGGATTAATGGTCTAAATATTGCCTTAAATAATTCCCAATTTAAATTATCAAAAGCTTTCTCAGCGTCAATTGCTACTAATGCTAATTCTTTCTAATGATTTGTCTCATAGTATTCAATTACATCTAGAATGTTCCTTAGATTATCTTTAATGTATCTACCAGGTAGAAAACTAGTTTGGTCTTCACCGATCCAACTTGTCAAGAATGTCTTCAGTCTATCAGTATTATATGTTACTATATTGTACTATGCCATTATAGTGTAATATTTTTAGTAATATTACATGTAATGTAAATATATAATTAAAATATCCTATTATTATTAGTATTATATTGCTTTACATTACAATATTATAAATTTAATATTATTTACGATATTTATGTGCCGCCCTTCTCACCCCGAAGGGGACTCAGAGCAGCTTATAAGATATATATACATACAACATATTATATTATTAGCGTAGTACATTGGCTGCAACTTTCTAAACACAATTGATGCTATTTATAAGGAACAAAAAGCAACCTTATGGATTAATGGTCTAAATGTCTACCTCTTTAAATATTGCCTTAAATAAAGCCCAAGTTTATTGGAAGAGAATCCATGAAGAAACACAAAAAATACTGGGAATCTCCTTCCCAAATAAGCCAGAGTATTATTTACTTAATATTACTGACTCGGATATTACCCTGGACCCAAACAAAGATATTTTATTTTCTTATATACCTACTGCAGCAAGGATAACATATGCAAAGATTTGGAAAATGGACAGTATACCTAATTTGGAGGATTGGATAAATAAAATACAGGAAGTTAAAGATATGGACAAATTAACTTTTTTGTTGAAGAAAAGTTCTGGAAACCCTATAAGAGAGACAGACTGGTAATTTTTTGAAAAGTATTTAAAAGAAAAGAGGCAGGTAAATAATAGCTGATAATAAAAATATAGTAATAGGCCTCTTTCAATTTATGAAAAATAATAACATTTCCTGAGAAGGGGAAGAAGCTACGAATATAATTGGATGAGAACATTAATATATGACAAGCAGAGACACAGAATGGAAGTCAATTTTTATTTTTGTTGGTGTTTTTTTTCCTGGACAATTTTTCCTTTGTTAGACAATTTTTCTTTCTTACTTACTTTTCCTACTTTACTGTACTTTAATATTCTCCCACTATCCTTGTAATTTCTATTTTGGGTGTGAGGTGGTGGTTTTATGTAAATCTATGTGAAAACTCAATAAAATTTATTATAAAAATATATATATATTGCCTTAAAGAATTTCCAATTTAAATTATCAAAAGCTTTCTCAACGTCAATTGCTACTAATGCTAATTCTTTCTGATGATTTGTCTCATAGTATTCAATTACATCTAGAATGTTCCTTAGATTATCTTTAATGTATCTACCAGGTAGAAAACTAGTTTGGTCTTCACCTATCCAACTTGTCAAGAATGTTTTCAGTCTATCAGTATTATATATTACTATATTGTACTATGCCATTATAGTGTAATATTTGTTAGTAATATTACATGTAATATAAATATATAATTAAAATATTATATTATTATTAGTATTATATTGCTTTACATTACAATATTATAAATTTAATATTATTTATGATATTTATGTGCCGCCCTTCTCACCCCGAAGGGGACTCAGAGCAGCTTATAAGATATATATACATACAACATATTATATTATCAGCATAATACATTGGCTGCAACTTTCTAAACACTATTGATGGTATTTATAAGGAACAAAAAGCAACCTTATGGATTAATGGTCTAAATGTCGACTTCTCTAAATATTGCCTTAAAGAATTCCCAATTTAAATTATCAAAAGCTTTCTCAGCGTCAATTGCTACTAATGCTAATTCTGTCTGATGATTTGTCTCATAGTATCCCGAAGTTGAAAATCTGAACCACATTTTACATCACTGCAATCTATATGAAAAAGAAAGGAAAAAAAAATATTGATGGCCTTTTATTTGCAATAAAATAAGTTGGGATGCAACGGCTAAAGTCTCATTTTTGTTGGCTGGTTACAACCCCATTCTGACAACACAAGTTGCCCTTTATTTGTTTAAAGCTGCTAAAAGGAGATTGGAGTACATCGATCAGATTGGGGTGCAGTGTAGGGGAGACGAGGATAGTTGATGCATATATCTATGGCCAAGCTACATTGGTTTGAAGTTGACAGATTCCTATATATTTGTATTCTATTTCATTAGGACCAGACGTATGTTGTATGTTGTGTTTGCACTGTCTGTTTTTGATAAGGCCAACTAGCGAATCAATAAAAAAATGTTGTTGTTGTTGTTAAAGGCCTTTTGTCATCATTAAGCATACCTTGGAAGCAAGAAGTAAACCATTAGCCAAGATCTTGCATGCATCATGTGCAGAGCGACCACTCCACCCCTGGACCCTTGCGCATGTCGATCCCTCCAAAACCTGACTGGCACAGCCAAAGAGCACCCATTATATAACATGGCAAAAACATGAATTTTTTGTAATTTTATTTGGGGGGTGGTTGGAAAAATCTGTGGCTTCAGAATCCATGGATATGGAGGGCCACCTAGATTTAACTAAGTCACTAAGTAAGGATTCTAGGTCAGTGGTTCTCAACATGGGGTCCCCAAATGTTTTTGGCCTTCAACTCCCAGAAATCCTAACAGCTGGTAAACTGGCTAGGATTTCTGGGAGTTGTAGGCCAAAAACATCTGGGGACCCCAGGTTGAGAACCACTGTTCTAGGTCATTCTTTCTATCTTTCTATGAAAGCAAAATTCTTGGCCTGGGAGAACTGGAAATACCTTTGTTCTCTTTCGTCAGCTTCTCAGCCATGTCCCAGTGCTCGTAGCTTCTCAGGACGTTGTTTGTGATGTTGACGTGGCTAGCAGCCATGTGGTGGATGCGCTGGGGAATGGTGATGGTGCCCGCTGAGGAGGAACCCGTTGTGCCGGCAGTGTTCCCAAGGTTGCTGATGGGCGACGGGCTCAGAGACATGGGAGACGGCGTCTCGGTGCTCCTGAGAAAAGGGAAAGAGGACAGGACAACATCATGCTTGGCTCAGAAGCAAGGGAAAGACTTCCCCTCCATCCCTACTGCCACTGCCTTGACCTGGGAGGGAGAGAAGAAGGGGCAGGGGCAGCTCCATCATGCAAACAGGAGTCCCTCTCTCCATCCAAACTGCCACTGCCCTGGCCACAGAGGACAACAGAAGAAGCAAGCGCAGCTCCATCTTGCTCATGCCCAAAAACAGATCAAGGGTCCTCCCTCCTTCCCACCTGCCACTGCTTTGACCTTGGGAGGGAGAAAAGAAGCATGCCACGTGTTGCTGTGTTTTGTGTGCGTGTGTGTGTGTGTGTTAGTGCATATATATGTAGTTTTGCACATACATTGTAATGCATTTTTTTGTTTTTTGGCTTTTTCGGTCCCTTCCGCTGTGTTTTTCTGTGTTTTTATGATTGATGGTCACTCGTTGGCCCGAGAGGCGTCTTGTGTCCAAATTTGGTGTCAATCTGTCCAGTGGTTTTTGAGTTATGTTAATCCCACAAATGAACATTACATTTTTATTTATATAGACTAGCCGTCCCCTGCCACGTGTTGCAGTGGCCCACATGGGGGTTCTGTGTGGGAGGTTTGGCCCAATTCTATCATCGGTGGGGCTCAGAATGCTCTGTGATTGTAGGTGAACTACAAATCCCAGCAACTACAACTCCCAAATGTCAAGATTCCATTTTCCCCAAACTCTACCAGTGTTCACATTTGGGCATATTGAGTATTTGTGTAGAGTTTGGTCCAGATCCATCATTGTTTGAGTCCACAGTGATCTCTGGATGCAGGTGAACTACAACTCCAAAACCAAAAGACACTACCCACTAAATCCTTCCAGTATTTTCTGTTGTTCATGGGAGTTCTGTGTGCCAAATTTGGTTCAATTCCATCGTTGGTGGGGTTCAGAATGCTCTTTGATTGCAGGTGAACAATAAAGCCCAGCAACTACAACTCCCACATGAGAAAATCAAATTTTTGGAGTGAAGGACATACATTGGATTGTTAGGTGTCTTGTGTCCAAATTTGGTGTCAATCCGTCCAGTGGTTTTTGAGTTATATTAATCCCACAAACGAACATTACATTTTTATTTATATAGATTTGATTGATCTCTTGCTTTTCTGCCACGCCCCCTTGCATGTTACTTCATGAGCACACGTGAAATAAAAAATGTGCCGCTGGATGGATGCCAGACCACTCTTTCTGATGGGAGACGGGGCTGCGTTTGCCTGGACAAAAGGGTGCAGATAATAATGGGCGGGCTCGAGTGCCTTCTCGCATTCACAGCTATTACGCATCCAGTTTTACTCAACGGCACTTCTCATAGATCAATGAAATATTTATTGGCCTTTCATTACTGAAGAAATCTCTGGGGGGAAATCTTTACCCTGGAGATTAACTTTACTTTGGCATCTAGGAACGGCAGACTATTTTTGAGCCAATTAGCAGCTCTTTTTTATGGTCCTCATTTGGCTTTCAGAACCAAAGTGATGAAGAAATCGGGATCAATCAATCCGCGTGGATCCTTTTCTTGTTCTGCTTGTCAAACCGTAACTCATGGAACACTGAGCGGAATATATACAATACCTCCTCTTCATCACCACAAAAGGCCCCCCACCGTATCCCATTGAAGGGCTAATTTTTACCTCGAGGGAGCACTTACTTTCCGTTGCCTCCCCAAGGAGATGGCGCCTGCGACACTTTGGATGAACTCTGTTGAAAGAAGCAAGAGAGAGGCCTCCTTGTTCGCAATAGAGATACAAATGATTCAAAGTGCATTAGTGTACTGATCACTGAAAGACGAGGCATTTCCTATTTTGGGAGCGAAGGAGAATATTATGTACAGAACCACCATCAGATTCCTGGCTCTTTTTCTGTGCCTCAGATCCCTGGGCCTGCTTCTAGGTCTTTTTCTGAGACTCCCACAGATGGTGGAGAGTCAACAACACAGCGGTTCTCAGAAGAAAAGAATTTTAAGGAAGGAGATAGCGAGCAGGTGGGGAGGCTTTTGCCTCCTTCCCACGCTGATACTGAAAGTGCAGAAAGCCTTGATAGTGATCTGACCCTGCAGGCTCGTCTTGATTTGCGGGTCAGGCAGAGTGCACGCCTGGCCAGCAGACGGGAAGCCAGCTCGGGCCAAGGTTATTGCAATGCTTTCATGTTGGTGAGAGCATATTATGTACAGAACCACCAGAGCACAACAATTTCTCTTAAGGGGCCCTGTTGTGGCTGAGACGTTCCCTGATGATGAGGATGATGGGATTCAGACTCCTGGCTCTTTTTCTGTGCCTCAGATCCCTGTGCCTGCTTCTAGGTCTTTTTCTGAGGCTCCCACAGACGGTGGAGAGCCAACAACACAGCGGTTCTCAGAAGAAAAGAATTTTAACGAAGGAGAGAGCGAACAGGTGGGGAGGCTTTTGCCTCCTTCCCACACTGATATTGAAAGTGCAGAAAGCCTTGATAGTGACCTGACCCAGTAGGTTCGTCTTGATTTGCGGGTCAGGCGGAGTTCTTGCCTGGCTGGCAGACGAGAAGCCAGCTAAGGCCAAGGTCATCGCAATGCTTTCATGTTGGTGAGAGCATAATGTTTTCACGTTAGAAAGGTATTTAGGCTTCTTGCAAACTAAGGGAAAGCGTCAGCTCAACATAGCTTATTAGCCTGAAAGCTTCATGGAATAACCTTAGCCTGGAAAGCAGCACGCTTGGGATTTCTTGCATTGTGATTCTTGGGGCAATTGTTTTATTGCTTGTTTTGAACTTTGCCTATAAGGTTGTGTCTCTTGTTTTTACCTGAAGATCTTTGGGACTATATTCTGCATTTAACCTAAATCTTTGGAACTTTGCAATGCTTATTCTTTATTTTGACTTGGATTTTTCCTCAATAAACTATAATACTACAGCTCTTTTGTGGTGGTGTTTGGAAGCAAGGTGAAGCTTACTCTGCGTTGCAACAGGCCCCATCCCAAGAAACGTGGTGGTGGATAATCAGGGGCAGCTGAAGCAATAGGCAAGATACGTATTTGCGTATAGCGCAAATCCCCGAGGGGCGCTCTTGAGGTGCCCTCGCACACACACAGTAGCCTCTTCCGCCTCGCCGGCAGAGAGGGCGCACCTCCAAGGGCACACCTCCAAGCCTGACCTTGCCCGGCTGGTGAATAATCTACCAAAGGAGCCGATACAGTCTAAATCAAGCCTGGGCCAACTTGGGCCCTCCTTCCCTCCAGATGTTTTGGACATAATGAACATAATGTTGCAAGTAAACTTCTGGTCTTTAAGGTAACTCTTTATTCACCTCTACCTTCTACCTTTTATTTTTCAGTGATTGGTTTTGGGGGGGGGCGCACAAAATACTGTTTGCTTACACTTGAAAATTACCTAGGGCCGGCGCTGTGGATAATAGGCTCAAAGATGGAGGATAAAGGTATGTAAAAGGACCTTGCAGTGTCTTAGAGATGAAAGTTGGCTGCATGAGCTTGAGTAGATAAGGAATGGTTACCTTGAAATATTCCATCAGAGACCGGGAGTACTTCATGGCATGGTCCTTCTTGAGCTTAAACATTCTCAGGTAGAGAAGGGACAAGCACCGGTAGCTGCGTTGCATTGAGGGGAGAAAAAGGGGGTTAGTTCACTTTGAAAGAACTGCAAATGGGGAGCACTGAACGCATCTTCCCTTACGAACCTGCCGATTACAGAATGTGCATATGTATGCTTTTACAAGGATCATTGCCTGTATGGGTGCGTGTTGAGGAAGCACACCTGGACAATTAAGCAATTAGGCTTGAGCCACTCCCTGCATTGAGTATATCATGAGGAATGTTTCATGTATTCAGAGAGATGGTGATCAGATGAGTGGAACTTCTATACTACAGGACTTGCTGAAGTTCTGGACCATTTACTACAAGACTCCTTGCACCAAGGAAGAAGCAGAGAATGCGTGGTTTTTAATGCATTGGATTTTGTGAGTTATTTTGCTGCAATGGACTAAGTTTATTTCCAAGGTTATTTTGTAAAGCTGCATATTTATCTCTGATTACTCAAGAGTAAATTTTGTTTTTCCTTTTACTCTATCTCTGTGTGATTCAATAATAATAATAATAATAATAATAAACCTTTATTTGTACCCCGCTACCTTCTCCTGAAGGACTCGGTGCGGCTTACAAGAGGGCTGGGGCTGGGAAGACTGCTGGGTAGCTTCTGCATAGACTGATAAACCGCAACAGGTTATGGGCCCAGTTTACCCAGTTTGCAAAGTCTGATCAGCTTGCCCAGTTGGATTTTTTTTTCAGTTCCAGTTTCTGAATAAATTTTGTTTTGCATTGTGTGTTTTGTTGGCGAAACAAGATGGATACTGGAATGAATTTTGCTTACCCTATGGCTAGGTTAAATGGCAATAACTATTCCATTTGGAAAGTCAGAATGGAAAGTTATTTGAGGAGAGCATCCTTGTGGGAATGCACAGAGAGCCCAGTGCAGAGCAGCTGAGAGCTCTGGAAAGAGCAAAGTCTACTCTGATGTTAGGAGTCGATGATGACCAGTTGGTTCATTTATGCGGCCTGCCAACTCCCAATGCAAGAAATCCATGCTTCCAGCTCAGCAGCAACAGTGGCTGTGTTAGCAAGCATGTCTTTCTCTGAGTCTCCCCCAAATTGCATTGGGAGTTGGCAGGCTGCGTATGGTGGCCCCTCGGCTAAGGAGCACCCTCCCCAGAGAGAGATATTAGATCGGCTCCCACTCTCCTAACATTCCGGAAAAAAGTCAAAACCTGGCTTTGTGAGCAGGCTTTCTCAAATGCAATGTAGTAAATAATTACTTGACCTCAGAACGGCTGGGCAATTGCAATCGGACCAAGATTCTGGAAATTAGATACAGAGGATTTATGTTTTATGCTTTATTGATTTTATTCTTTATGGAATTTTAAGGATGTTTATATGCTTTTAACTGTTTATATTATTGTGATGGTTTTGTAAAGCACCGTGTGTCACCCTTGGGCTGAGAAGGGCGGTATAGAAATATAGATAATAATAATAATAATAATAACAATTATCAGATGCAACCAATGTGAGTGTGGAGAATCATAGAATCCTAGAATCCAGGAGTTGGAAGAGACCTCCTGGGCCCTCATCCAGTCCAACCCCATTCTGCCAAGAAGCAGGAATATTGCATTCAAATCACCCCTGACAGATGGCCATCCAGCATCTCTTTAAAAGCTTCCAAAGAAGGAGCCTCCACCACACTCCCTCCAGGGCAGAGAGTTCCACTGCTGAACGGCTCTCTCAGAACAAGAGTTGTAGTCTGAAGGTTGCCGCAGGGACATTCCTCTGTGTTGTTCATGCAGCCCATGGGGCTCGCTCTGGCACTAGTAGTAGAGACCCCCAAAAGTTCATCAAATCTCCCCTCCCCATTTTTTTACAGATTGCCCCCAGGTGAGACAGAAAGCCTTCCAAATACATCAAAGCATGCAAGAGAAACCTTCCCTCCACACATGTCCCAGGATCCATTAGTTATGTTACGCACCAGCCATGGGCCCGTGCTGGCTGGGAATGAGCCTGAGTTGCCCAACAAGGCCAAGTTCTCATGTTTGCTTTGGGTCCAGGAATGAGCATGCAAGGTCCCTCACCATAAAACGGCCAGCTTCTTGTCTCCTTCCGTGGCAGAAGAGCCCGTGAAGTTCTTGAGTCTCATGGCATACCTGAAAAGAGAAATTTAAACAGGGAAGATTATTTCTTCAATAATCTATCAAACTACAGCTCTTGTGTGGTGGTGTTTAGAAGCAAGGTGAAGCTTACTCTGAGTTGCAACAATAGGATTCTTTTAAGGTGGGATGTGAAATGTTGGATAGGTCAGACAGATGGGCATGACTAGAGGGCACGCTTCACAAAATGGGTTCCGACGTTCCTTTCATAGGATCATGGAATCATAGAGTTGGAATAGACCACATGGGCCATCTAGTCCAACCCCCTGCTATGCAGGAAAAGCGCCATCAAAGTGCCTCAGCTCTTTAAGACGCTCCTCAGAGGGATCATTAATGATCTCCAGACCTTTGATCCTTTGAGTCACCCTCAAATGGACTTCTTCTACCTTAGAGTCAATCTCTCTTTTGAACTGATTTGCCCAGAAATGGACTCAGGTGTGATTCCAGGTAAAGAAGTCTGACCAAAGCAGAAGAGAGGGGCACCAGGGTTGACTTCCCTGAATTTGAAGAGAAGGGACTTCCCTTGGACTGTGGTGAAGGCTCCTTCTTTGGAGGTTTTGAAACAGAGCCTGGGTGGCCATCTGACTGGAGTGCTTTGAATGCAATTGTCATACTTCTTCGCAGAATAGGGTTGGACTGGCTGGCCAGTGAGGTCTCTTCCAACTCTAGCATTCCATGATTCTATGAATACTGCCTATCTCACCTCATCCATCCACGTATCCAAGGAGGAAAGGGAGTCTTATAGGAGTTTGGAATGATCCAGATCAAAGTTCTCAGCCAGAATCTAGGAAGCTTCCATAGCTCGGTACTGTCGGTGATGGGCTGACTGAAGGTGGAGGCTCTATTAGTGGTGTTGAGGACAGACTTTTGCTTCTGGGAGCATTCAAAACAGTATTTTCTACTTTGGCCAATGCCTATTTGTGATGGAGCTCAGATCTTGATGCAGAGAATGCCCAGGAGATCCCTTCCTAAGACCATTACAACTGCCAACAATGATGGATCAGGACCACAATTCACACTGAGAGCCCGCATGACCTACTCTATATCCTGCTGCGATTTGGAACAATTTGACGATGGATGATGGCACTTGCAGTCACTTCACTCACTTCCTGAGACCACTGAGACCCTTGCCAATAACTGATCAAGACCAAACTTGGCACACAGAGGCCCCCATGACACACTCTACATCCTGGTGCACTTTCAAGGAGGACAGACCATGGATGATGGGACTTCAAGTACGTCCACTCACTTCCCAAGACTGCTGCAACCCTCATCTAATGACCAATCAAGACCAAACTTGGCACACAGATCCCCCATGAGCCACTCTACATCCCAGTGCTGTGTGCAGGAGGACAGACGATAGATGATGGGACTTGCAGTCCCTTCACTCACTTCTTGAAACCACAGCGACGCTCATCGAAATACCAATAAAGACCAAACTTGGCACAGAGAGCATTTATGCTCCATATTCATGCCTTGGGTTCATGTTTCCTGATTCTTTGCATTTTATTTGGAAAGTTTTGTCATGGTTTTTATGGACTATTGCCCTGGACTACTTTGTTCTTGCTTATCTTCCTACCTAATTGGATTTACCTATTTCTTTAAAGTGCTTTTTACCTTATTGCTTTCTAATTATCTTCAATAAAAGGATTGTTTTCCATCCAACAACGGTGTGGTGTTTAAAGTCAGAGGGCTTTTCCTGTCCTGGAGTGCAGCAATTCAGGACAACCGGCCGAGATCCTTCCTGGTCTGTGCATGGGTTCTGACGTTTACACAGACAGCGCATGGGACCTGCAGTGCAGCTAATGGGATACGAGGGCCCATACTACTGAGCTATGGTCCCCTTCCTCTTTGGGCCGATGCCTGAGGAAAGGGGCCCGCCTTCTCCTCTCACTTCCCCACTGTTTTCATGAAAGCGCGCAGTGCATTTAGCCTCCTGAAAATCAAATCATCATATAAAGAGCATTGTTCTGAGCCGTAATACAATTTCACAGGTACTTGTGTTGGAATAAGTAATAGAGTTCATTGTTGCGTAAGGAAATCTGAAGGTGCCTGGGCCATCTCATTTACGAGGCCGTAATGGAGTGGAGAGGAACGGCGCGGCTTTCTCCACATCGGGACACGGCCGCCCTTGTCATTGGCATCGTTATGCGCTTCCTCTATAAAAGCCCTCTTCCTTCAGCACCGTCATACTTGGTGGGCCAGGCCGAATGACAAAGACTACGAGCCTCCTCCGAGGATGTGCAGTCGTAAAAGGGAAGGGATTTAAAGGCACAATTAGTCTAAACGGCAGCCCTGGCAGGCGTATTTTTGGCATCCTGAGTCACCGCAACGCACTGCTCATTCTCACAAATCAATATCATTTGCGTGCAGCCATGCCTCTTCAATGGCTATAATTAGCAGACGGGACAAAAACATAAAGGTTTGCGAAGAGCAAAAACAACGGGGGGAAAAGGCAAGGAGCACAGCTCGCTTTCTCATGTCGCATGCTCCCACTTTGGGATAAACTCTGCATCTGAGCATTTCTTTATATCAGAAGCAAACCGAGAGTACAGTTGTAACGTATTTAAAAACACAAACACAGTTTGCAAACTTGGCCTTATACTAAATGTCCTTTGAGCAGTATCTGGACACTTGGAGTGCCTCTGGTGTTGCCGCAAGAAGGTCCTCCATTGGGTTGTTGTAGGTTTTTTCGGGCTATATGGCCATGTTCTAGAGGCATTCTCTCCTGACGTTTCGCCTGCATCTATGGCAAGCATCCTCAGAGGTAGTGAGGTCTGTTGGAACTACGCAAAAAGGTTTCTATATCTGTGGAATGGCCAGGGTGGGACAAAGGACTCTTGTCTGTTGGAGCTAGGGGTGAATGTTTCAACTGACCACCTTGATTAGCATATAATGGCCTGGCAGTGCCTGGAGCAAACTTTTGTTGAGAGGTGATTAGATGTCCTTGTTTGTTTCCTCTCTGTTGTTGTGCTGTTCTAATTTTAGAGTTTTTTTTAATACTGGTAGCCAGATTTTGTTCATGTTCATGGTTTCCTCCTTTCTGTTGAGATTGTGCACATGCTTCTTGTGGATTTCACTGGCTTCTCTGTGTAATCTGACATGGTGGTTGTGAGAGTGGTCCAGCATTTCTGTGTTCTCAAATAATATGCTGTGTCCAGGTTGGTTCCTCAGGTGCTCTGCTATGGCTGACTTCTCTGGTTGAAGGAGTCTGCACTGCCTTTCATGTTCCTTGATGCGCGTTTGGGCAATGCTGCTGTGTTTGGTGGTCCCTCTGGAGACTTGTCCACAGCTGCATGGTACACGGTAGACTCCTGCAGAAGTGAGATGATCCCTTTTGTCTTTTGCTGAACGGAGCATTTGTTGGATTTTCTTGGTGGGTTTGTCGATAGTTTGTATGTTGTACATCATTCCAGGAGTTGCATGTGACGTCTGTAGACAGTCCACATCTCACAGGCATATAGCAGGCTTAGGAGGACCATAGCTTTATAAACAAGCACCTTGGTCTTCCTACAGATGTCCCGGTCCTCAAACACTCTCTGCCTCATTCGGGAAAATCCTGCACTTGCAGAGCTCAAGTGAAGTTGTATTTCAGTCTTACTGTTGATGTCTGTAGACAGTCCACGTCGCGCAGGCGTATAGCAGGGTGGGAGGACCATAGCTTTATAAACAAGCACCTTGGTCTCCCTACGGATGTCTCGGTCCTCAAACACTCTCTGCCTCATTTGGAAAAATGCTGCACTCGCAGAGCTCAAGTGAAGTTGTATTTCAGTGTCAATGTTGACATGTGTAGACAGTCCACGTCTCACAGGCATAGAGCAGCGTTGGGAGGACAATAGCTTTCTAAACAAGCACCTTGGTCTCCCTACGGATGTCCCGGTCCTCAAACCCTCTCTGCTTCATTCGGAAGAATGCTGCACTTGTGTTGTATTTCGGTGTCGATGTTGACTTTGGTGGAGAGGTGGCTGCCAAGGGAGCGGAAATGGCCAACATTTTCTAATGTGACACCATGAAGCTGTATTTCTGGCATTGGAGAGAGATTGCCTGATGACTGCTGGAAGAGCACTTTGGTTTTCTCGATGATCAATGACAGGCCGAGCTTCTCATATGCTTCTATGAAGGTGTTTAGAGTGGCTTGTAGGTCTTCTGCATGCTCACAGATGTTGTCATCAGCATACTGGAGTTCTATAACAGATGTTGTTGTGACCTTGGTTTTGGCTTTCAGTCTGCTGAGGTTAAACAGCTTGCCATCTGTCCAATAGATGATTTCCACTCCGGTGGGAAGTTTCCCATCAACAAGGTGAAGCATCATAGCGATGAAGATGGAGAATAAAGTTTGGGCAATAATAACACATCCCTGTTTGACACCTGATTCCACCTTAAATGGGTCACTTTGGGAGCTATTGTTGTCCAAGACTGTTGCCATTATGGAGGAGCTGCAGGATGTTCACAAATTTGTTTGGGCACCCAATGTTTTGGAGGATGGTCCAGAGAGTGCTGCGATTCACTGTGTCAAATGTCTTGGCAAGGTCAATGAATGCCATGCACAGAGGTTGGTTTTGTTCCCTGCATTTATCTTGGAGCTGTTCTGCAGTGAAGACCATGTCCACGGTTCCTCTGGAAGGGCGGAAGCCGAAGAACGGATGAAGACTAGGGCTCCACAGCCACCTGTGGACCCACCACCAAGCCACTGCACTTGGAAGGCCATCATACTCTTCACTTCACTTCACTTTATTTCTTAATTAGTGGCTCTCCACCAAGGTGCTCCGAGCGACTTACAATCTAAAATAGCATTTCACAATATAAAAACATTCAACATAAAAACATTCATCAGTGACTATTTGGCAAATAAGATCTGATGACTCAAATGCACAACCAAACAGCCAAGTCTTGAGTGCCTTTCCAAAAGGTCGCAACTCCGACATGGCTCTAATGTATGGAGGCCATGAGTTCCACAGAATTGGAGCAGAGGTTGAAAAAGCTCTACGCTGCCTTGT